TCCCCAGTTTGGGCATGAGCGTCATTTTCATGTTCCAAGGTCGGATCTGGGAGTCCAGGTTGCATCGTATTTGATGCATCCTGAGAACTTGTGCTGAGAACAGGACCCTGGGGACACATGATCTCGAAGACTGGGTTCTCATTCACTCTCCATTTGCAGAGCCCCTCCCCAACTCACTGCAGCCAATACTCCCTGGCGAGACCCTGAGACAGGCCTGTCTGTCCCTTGTCCCAGGCAAGCCTGGCCCACAGAGTGTGGGAGGAGGAAGTTACAGGTCATGGTTTCTCAAGCACTGATGGATTCCAGGCATCTGCATTCTCCTTGGATTAGAAATTTGGATCCTAGGAGCTTTTGGGGGCTGGGGAAGGGATAGTGCCTGTGCAATTTAGATTTTTAATTTTTTTTAGAGACAGGATCTCACTCTATCACCCAGTCTGGTGTAATCAGAGCTCACTGTAGCCTTGTCCTCCTGGGCTCAAGTGATCCTTCCACCTCAGCCTCCCAGGCAGCTGGGACTACAGGTGTGTGCCACCGCACCCAGCTAACTTTTGTATTTTTGTAGAGATGGGGTCTTGCCATGTTGCCCAGATTGGTCTTGAACTCCTGGCCTCAAGCAATCCACCTGCCTCAGCCTTCCAAAGTGCTGAGATTACAGGCATGAGCCACCGTGCCCAGCCTTATTTTTGATTTTCTGTTTAATGACCCAACTCATCCTTCAAGGCCCAACCAAAATCTGGCGACCCAGTGAGCCTCCTGGGCCCTCCTCTGTACTGTTTCCTGGCCCCACAGGAGCTCCCCCTCTGCCTGCCAGCTTTCCACCCTCCTCAGGCAGGGTCTGTGGCCCAGGCCTTCTGGTGACCTGGTGCTGTCAGAAGGAGAAATCTCTCAGGAAGCAACTCAAGGAACTAGAGGGGCCCTCTGGTCCACAGGAGGCAGGAGAAGCCCATCCTGACCCCATATCCACAAGGGCCCGTCAAGGGAGGGGACCCATCAGAGCTGTTAGAGGCCAGGGATGCTGGAGCCACCTCTGGGATGGCAGCTGGCCACCTGCACCCTGGCCATACTCAGGAAGATGGTAGGCCAGGGCCCACCCAGGAGGAGGGTGAGAGGGGCACAGAGCTGGCTGACTCAGCACCCTGAGAACGGAGGCTTCAGACTTGGGAGTCCCCCTCTCTGCTTTCCCTAGAGACCGGGGAAAAGGCAACCCCTCCCAGCTCCGAGCCTGAGAGCCCAGGTAACCCTGGCTCCGTGCTGGTCATAGTGTTCTGGGGTGGGCAGAGTGACAGCCCCCAAAATGAATGCAGCATCTAGCCTTGGAGAAGGGATGCACCTTGGAAATGGCCACATCCCCCAGGGCAGTCCCTGTTTTGTAAGCAGCAAACTCTAAGTGGATTCCTTTGTTTCTCCTCATTCTAAGTCTCCAAGTGAACAAGGACATTCAACTACTCAAGTTTTTCCTTCTTTCGGACACCTCTTGCTCACTTCTCTGGCTGTAAGCCAGGCTGGCCCTGGAGCCTAGGTACTCAGCCCTTCTCAGACACACTCCCAGGCCTCAGCCATGACACTCAAATGTTTGTCCCCTACAACATTCCATTAGGAAAATTCTCAAACATCTGGAAAAGATGCAGCCTTTGGACATCAAAGCCTTGTGTGTCCACAGCTCACGCTGAAGTCAGCCTGCTTTATCTCACACCCACCACCCTCTCCATTCTCTATCTATCTGTCTTATCTTTTTATGCTTACGTCAGTCTGCTCTGTCCCAAACACTGTAGCAGGCACGTCCTGAACCAGTGCTGGATGTTTTGCAAGTAACATCCCACATGGAGTCTCGCCATAGAATGGGTGAAGGGGAAGCATCTGGGTTCATGGAATGGAGGCACCTCACCTGGGGCAGCCACCTCACCTCACCCTGGCTTAAAAATGGAAGCCCCTTGCCTGTAATCCCAGCACTTTGGGATGCCAAGGCGGGTGGATCACCTGAGGTCAGGAGTTTGAGACCAGCCTGGCCAACATGGCAAAACCCCATCTCTACTAAAAATACAAAACAGCCAGGTGTGGTGGTGCACACCTGTAACCTCAGCTACTTGGGAGACTGAGGCAGGAGAATCGCTTGAGCCAGGAGGGGGAGGTTGCAGTGAACCGAGATCACACCACTGCACCAGCCTGGGCAAGAGTGAGACTCCATCTCAAAACAAACAAACAAAAAAAGGAAGCCCCTGCAGTCCTGGGCTAAGCAGACAGTTGGTCTCCCAGCCTTACCCTACAGGGGCACCTCAAGGCCCCTTTGCTGGGGTTCCTGGGTGCTCTGAGGTGCATGGTTTGAAAACCACGAGTCCAGCCCCTATGGTCACCTCCCTAGCCTGGTTCAACCCACCTTCTCCTGTCTAGAGGCCTCTCTCCCACAGTCCAGATAAGAGACAGCTGACCCTGGCCACCACCACTTGGGCTTGGGCAGTGGCAGTGCACACCATACCCCAGGGACCCCGGATGGGTCATCCAGTGGCTGGGACTCAAAGGAAGAGAGAGGATAGGGGAGGGAAACATGGAAGAAGACTGTCCAGCTACCTACAGCAGGGACACCAACCCAGCCTACATCAGGGCTGGCCTTCCTGGGAGTACTGGGATCTACAAAACGGTGGAGGGGGTGTGCAGGGACACCCGGGGCAGGGTACCTGCGTATAGTGAATGGATAAAGGAGTGAACAAGGGAGCCGACTGTGCAAGGACAGACCACAGGGGTGCAGGCTTGGGTGGTGGCCTGGGGATGCCCATGGGGTCTGGCGTGAGGTTATGCACTCAAATGGGGGCCAGACAGGAGGGAAGGTGACCAGGGAGAGGGAGGCCAGATCTCCAGAGGGTAGACATACTGGGGACCCTGAACGCTGGGTCTCTACTAAAGAGATCCAGACTGGTTGGATCCAGTGGACACATCGACAGGTGGTCGTAAGCATGAGGAACTCTCTTTCCACCCACCTCCACCAGTGCCCAAAAGGACCTGGTGATTTCTTTAAATTGAGGTGTATTTTGTACAGCAAAATGGAAGACCCTAAGTGCATGGCTCAATTCGTTCTGATGTGAAGCACTCACGTAACCAACATCCCAGTTAAACGCAGAGCACTTCGGCCAGGCTGGCCCAGCAGAGCTTCCCTGATGACAGGCACATTCCCTATCTAACTGTCCCATTCAGGGTAGCCACGGGCCACACATGAAGCATGGTTGGTGCCACTGAAGGGCTGAGTTTTACATTTCTTGTATTTTAATTAATTTTAAACTTAATTACATTAATTTAAAAGGCACATGGCCGGGCGCGGTGGCTCAAGCCTGTAATCCCAGCACTTTGGGAGGCCGAGACGGGCGGATCACGAAGTCAGGAGATCGAGACCATCCTGGCTAACCCGGTGAAACCCCGTCTCTACTAAAAATATACAAAAAAAAAAAAAAAAACTGGCGGGCCGGGGGGCGGGCGGGCCGGAGGCCCAGCTACTCGGGAGGCTGAGGCAGGAGAATGGCGTAAACCCGGGAGGCGGAGCTTGCAGTGAGCTGAGATTCGGCCATTGCACTCCAGCCTGGGCGACAGAGCGAGACTCCGTCTCAAAAAAAAAAACATAAATAAATAAATAAATAAATAAATAAAAGGCACAGATGTCAAATGTCTTTTGCCAAAGCAGAGCACAGCCTGGGAGCTGTTGGGACCTCGAAAACGAGGAGTGAGGTCGCCACGGTGCTGACTCTCCTGCGGATGAGTGTTGCCTGGTCTTGAGTTCAGATTGGGGGATCAGAGGGCCCCAGGAACATCTCATGGTTGAGCCCCTCCTCCCCACGTGCTCACGGGAGCCCATGCCTTTGGTTTTCTGAGCAGGGTGGCACCCTAGAGGCGGCTTTCATTTGTTTATTCACTCTCCTATTGACGGATGCTTGGGTGGCGTCCAAGTTCCTGCTCTCAGGCTCAAAGGCCTGGGAAGATTCCTGAACACGTCTCACTGTGGACACGTGTTTACATCTAGGGGTACATAGCCAAAAGCCGGCCTGCGGGCTGGCAGGATGGGTCTGAGTTCCACGGTGATTTCTATGCTGGGTCACGCCTACATCCCAGAAACCAGGTCTCCTCCTCCAATCCTAAAGCCAAAGGCATCCCTCCTCTGGGCAGTCCCCACCTGACCCAGTCTCCGGCCTGAGTTCTCAGGTTCTAGCCCTCAGTCCCCCAACGGGCTCCAGGTCAACCTGGTGTGAACGAGGCCCAGGCAGTTGTACTGAGCAGGAATGCGGGGCTGCATCATGTCCTATTACAGATCTGGACAACTTGGATTCTGAGCTGAGTATTGGGGGTAGGGCAGGTCAGGTTCCTGGCCTTGTAAAATCAGACTTCCAGATAAAACATACAGAAAAACACATAGATGATATCAAAACATCTAGAAAAAATTAAATAGCCAGCATTGAGTATTTATTCCACACACAGCATTGTGTCAAGCACTTCATGTATAACATATAGGCTTAAGAGCTGGGCAAGGTGACTCATGCCTGTAATCCCAGCACTTTGGGAGGCTCTAGCAGGAGGTCACTTGAGGCCAGGAGTTTGGGACCAGCCTGGGCAACATAGCAGGTCCTTGTCTCTACAAAATGTAAAAATAAAAATTAGCTGGCTGTGGTGGTGTGTGCCTGTAGTCCCAGCTAATCTGGAGGCTGCAGTGAACCATGATCATACCACTGCACTCTGGCCTGGGCAACACAGTGTGATCCTGTCTCAAAAAAAAAAAAAAAAACAATTAGAAGGCATGGTTTATGAACATTATTTTAGAGGCCATAGAGAATCTTTAATTGGAATTTTAAGTAAAAATTATCTTACTTGCAAAATAAGAAATCGGATTTCCTTCATGGTGGAAGCTGCGTCTCGCCCACCCCCAACCCGCATGCACTTGAGGCCCCAGAGCAAAGGGTCTGTAGCCTGCTCATCTGTGTCACTGTCCCAGCCCCACACTCACCGCCAGGTCTTGCCCTCTGCAGGTCGCTGGCTGTCGGGCCACAGTATTCCTCCCTGGGCTCACAGCCCATCCTGTGCGCCAGCATCCCAGGCCTGGTCCCCAAGCAGCTCCGCTTCTGCAGGAACTACGTGGAGATCATGCCCAGCGTGGCCGAGGGCATCAAGATTGGCATCCAGGAGTGCCAGCACCAGTTCCGCGGCCGCCGGTGGAACTGCACCACCGTCCATGACAGCCTGGCCATCTTCGGGCCTGTGCTGGACAAAGGTACAGGAGTGGTCTGGGGGAGGGCAGATGAGTCTGGAGTGGGACAGAGTCTCCCGCCTAGCGCAGCCTGACATTCTTATCTGTGCACACGGTGGGAACAGCGCCTCACGTGGACGCTAGGGTCCTTCCCGCTTACCGCCAGGAGGACGATCTGGGGCTGAAGCACGACTGAGCCCGTGGGGTTATTCGGGTATCCCTCCTCCTTCTGCTCCCTGGACAGGAAAGCGGGCATTCTAGGGTGACTCCAACAATGGCCAGCGGCGGGGTTGCTCCCAGGAGCCAGGGCACAGGCCAGACTTGCAGAGGAAATACACAAACTGAAAGACCTACAAGAAGGGAGAGGTTTGGAGGCACGCTGGAGGAGAAAGAGAAACAGAGAGAAAGACAGAGACAGAGAGAGAAAGAAATAGAGACAGAGACACAGAGAAAGACAGAGACACAGACACACACAGAGAGGAACAGTGAGATGGAGAAAGATAGAGACAGAAAGATGCAGAGAGAGACAGACAGAGACACACACAGAGACAGACAGACAAAGACACACAGTGAGAGAGACAGAGAGGGACAGAGAGACCAAAAGAGAAAGACACAGAGGAACAGAGAGACAGAGACACAAAGATGCAGAAAGACAGAGAGACAGAAATAGAACGAGAGAGACAAAGAGTGACAGAGAGACACACAGAGAGAAACTGAGAGACAGGGAGACAGAGACGGTGAGAACATGGGTAAGATTAAACCTTTAGCATCTTTTTTTAAAAAGTTGAGGTGAAATTCACATACCAGGAAGTCCGCAATTTTAAAGTATTCAATTCAGTAGCATTTGGTATACTCACAGAATTGTGCAACCATCACCTGCCTAGTTCCAAAATGTCTTGTGCCCAAAAGGGAAAAAGGAAACCTGTGCCCATTAAGTAGCCATTCCCGTTCTTCTCCATTCCATAGCCCCTGGCACCCACCCGCCTACCTTCTCCCCTGTGATTTAGCTACTCTGCCTGTTTAAGAAACGGCATCGCTGGCCGGGCGCGATGGCTCAAGCTTGTAATCCCAGCACTTTGGGAGGCCGAGACGGGTGGATCATGAGGTCAGGAGATCGAGACCATCCTGGCTAACACAGTGAAACCCCGTCTCTACTAAAAAAATACAAAAAACTAGCCGGGCGAGGTGGCGGGCGCCTGTAGTCCCAGCTACTCGGGAGGCTGAGGCAGGAGAATGGCGTAAACCCAGGAGGCGGAGCTTGCAGTGAGCTGAGATCTGGCCACTGCACTCCAGCCTGGGCGACAGAGCGAGACTCCGTCTCAAAAAAAAAAAAAAAAAAAAAAAAAAGAAACGGCATCGCTCAATATTTTGCGTCTGGCTTTTTTTTCACTGAACGTGTTGATTCACCTGCACTGTGGACAGTTTCAGCACTTCATTCCTGTTCATGGCTTAATAATATTCCATTGCATGGATGGAGCACGCTTGTTTATTCATTCTTCAGGCTGATGCATATCAGCGTGGTCTCCACCTTTTGACTGCTGTGAATAATGCTACTGTGGCCTTTTCTTGGACATGCATATGTTTGAACACCTTTTTTCACATCTTTTGGTTTCTGTATCTAGGATTGGAATTGCTGGGTCACAGGGTAATTCTGTTTTGCTTTGCTTGACCTGGGAGGTCAAGGCTGCAATGTGCTGGAACCATCACACTATTTTCCACAGCAGTTGCACCATTTTATATTCCTACCAATATTGTTTGAGGGTTCCAGCTTCATCCTCGCTGACACACTGTTATCTGGTGCTTGTATTTCTTACTTCTAGCCATTCTAGAGTGTGAAGTAGAACCTCCTTCTGATTTCAGTTTGCACTTCCCTGATGACTGATGATGCCAAGCACCGTTTCATGGGCTTTGGGGCCAGCTGTAGATCTTCTTTGAAATGTTTAGTCAAGTCCTTTGCCCATTTTTAAATTGGATTTTTTGTCTTTGTGTTGTTGAGTTGTGAGTGTTCTTTATATATTCTGGATACTGGACGTGCATTAGATGTATGATTGGTGAATATTTCTCTCTCATTGTGTAGGTTTTTTCATTTTTGTGAGAGTGTCCTTTGATACACAAAATGTTTTAATATTGGTGAAATCCAATTTATTTAGATGTCATACCGAAGCAAGAATTAGCTAACCTAAGGTCACAAAGATTCACACTATGTTTTCTTCAAAGAACCTAATAGTTTGTCTTTTACATAGAAGTATTTGATCTATTTTGAGCTCATCTTTGTATGTGGTAAGAGGTAGGAATCCAACCACATTTTTTTGTGCATGGAAATTCAGTTATTCCAGTGCTTTCTATTGAAAAAACTGTTCTTTTTCCCATCAAATGGTCTTGGCACCCTTGCTGAAACTCAATTGCTCATAGACATATAGGTTTATTTCTGGACTCTCAATTCCAGTCTATTGGTCTGTATGTCTGTCTGTCACCAATACCACACTATTTTGATTGTTGTAGCTTTGTGGTATGTTTTGAAATTGGGAAGAATAAGTTTTCCAACTTTGTTCTTTCTTTTCCAGATTGTTTGGAGGGGACAGGAAAAAAGATTGTTTTGGTTATTTGGGGTCCCTTTCAACTATATGTAAATTTTAAGAGCAGTTTTTCCATTTGTGAAAAAAAAATGCTGCTGGGATTTTCATGGGGATTTCATTGATTCTGTAGGTTGCCTTGAGAAGCATTGCCTCCTTAACAATATTTTTTTTTTTTTTTTTTTTGGAGATGGAGTCTCGCTCTGTCGCCCAGGCTGGAGTGCAGTGGCCGCGGATCTCAGCTCACTGCAAGCTCTGCCTCCCGAGTTTACGCCATTCTCCTGCCTCAGCCTCCCGAGTAGCTGGGACTACAGGAGTCCGCCACCTCGCCCGGCTAGTTTTTTGTATTTTTTAGTAGAGACGGGGTTTCACCGTGTTAGCCAGGATGGTCTCAATCTCCTGACCTCGTGATCCGCCCGTCTCGGCCTCCCAAAATGCTGGGATTACAGGCTTGAGCCACTATGCCCGGCCTCCTTAACAATATTAAGGCCTTTAATCCAGGAGCTCAGAATCTTTCCATTTATTTAGATCTTCTTCTTTAATTTTGTTTTTGTTTTTGTTTTGTTTTGTTTTGTTTGTTTGTTTGTTTGTTTTTTGAGACAAGGTCTCACTCTGTTGCTCATGTTGCTCAGGCTGGAGTGCAGTGGCATGATCACGGCTCATTGCAGCCTTGACCTTCCAGGTTCAAGCGATCCTCCTGCTTTAGCCTCCCAAGTAGCTGGGACTATAGGCATGTGCCACTATGCCCCCGTGATTTTTGTATTTTTTGTAGAGATGAGGTTTTGCTGTGTTGGCCAGACTGGTCTCTAACTCCTGGGCTGAAGCGATCCGCCCGCCCTGGCCTCCCAAAGTGTTGGGATTACAGGGCATGAGCCACTGTGCCCAACTTCTGTAATTTCTTTCAGCCATGTTTTGTAGTTTTCACGGTATGAGTTGTGTACCTCCATGGTTAATGTATTCCTAAGTGCTTTTTTTCTTTTTGATGCTACTGTCAATGGAAACATTTTTCTTTTCTTTTTTTTTTTTTTTTTTTGGTTTGAGACAGTGTCTGTCTCTGTCGCCTAGGCTGGAGTGCAGTGGCACCATCTAGGCTCACTGCACTTCCATCTCCCAGGCTCAAGTAATTCTCCTGCCTCAGCCTCCTGAGTAGCCTTGCTTGGCTAATTTTTTGTTTTGTTTTTTTTTTTGTAGAGATGGAGGTCTCCCTATGTTGCCCAGGCTGGTCTTGAACTTCTGGGCTCAAGCAATCCTCCCACCTCGGCCTTCCAAAGTGCCTGTAACCACAGGTGTTAGCCACTGTGACCAGCTTGTAATTGTTTTCTTAATTTTTTTTTCAGATTTTCCATTGTTAATATATAGAAATACAACTTTTTAATCAAGAAATACATTTTTTTGAGTTTTGATCCTCAACTGTAACCCTGCTTAATTTGTTTGTTAGCTTTGAGAGGGTTTTGGTGAATTGTGTAGAATTTTCTACATACAGGTTGATGTCATCTGTGGATGGAAACTGCTGCCTTTCTTCCTTTCTTATTTGGATGTCTTTTATTTCTTTTTCTTTCCTGATTGCTGTGGCTAGGACTTCCAGTGCTATGTTGAACAGAAATGGTAAAAGTGGGGATCTTTCCCTTGCTCCTGATCTTAGGGTGAAAACTTTGAGCTGCCTGCATGTATGGTGTTGGCTGCATGTTTTTCTTTATTTATTCTTATTTATTTATTTTTAATTCCTATTTCAATAACTTTTGGGGTACAAGTGTTTTTTTGTTACATGGACGAATTGTTAGCGGTTAACTGAGATTTTAGTGCACCCTTCACCTAAATAATGTACATTGTACCCAATATGTAGTGTTTTATCCCTAGCTTCCCTCCCAACCTCCCGCTTCTGAGTCTCCAATGTCCGTGATATCACTCTGTCTGCCTTTGTGTTCTCCTAGCTTATCTCCCACTTGTAAGTGAGAACACAGGATATTTGGTTTTCCACTCCTGAGTTATTTCACTTAGAATAATGGCTTCCAGCTCCATCCAAATTACTGCAAATGACATTATCTCATTCCTGTTAATGTCTGAGTAGTATTCCATGGTGTATATATACCACATTTTCTTTATTTTATTTTATTTTATTTTATTTTGAGATAGGGTCTCACTCTGTCATCCAGCTTGGAATGCAGTGGTGTGATCTCGGCTCACTGCAACCTCTACCTCCTGGTTTCAAGTGATTCTCCTGCCTCAGCCTCCAGAGTAGCTGAGACTACAGGTGCCTGCCACCAAGCCTCACTAATTTTTGTTTTTTCAGTACAGACAGGGTTTCATCATGTTGGGCTTGTCCTGACTTCCTGACGTCAGGTGATCAACCTGCCTCAGCCTCCCTAAGTGCTGGGATTACAGGCGTGAGCCACCGTGCCTGGCCTTATACACCACATTTTCTTTATCCACTCGTGAGTTGATGGGCACTTA